TCCGATAAATAATAATAGGTAACATTTTCGTAAAATATTCGAAGGAAAATGTTAGGATCACACAATTATTTTATCCGGGCGTTAGCATATTTTAACAAAAATATGGTAGAGCCCGTAAGTAGTAACTATTTATTAACTATTTATTAGGTGACTTTTACAATATTTAAAATTGACGTTTACGGAAATAACACAGTAATTTACTATTACGAGTTGATTTTAATTGTAAAACTGTCTACATTCAGCGTGCTTTACTTGCAAATTGCAGGGTCTACCGTGTACTTGGTGGTCGTTGGGTTTTCAAAAATGTATATTATATAACTTACGCATCACGTTGTTTTTCCGCTATGGACTCCTAAACTACTTAACCGATTTCAATAAAATTTGCACACCGTGTGCAGTTTGGTCTAACTTAAAAGATAGGATACATAACATATATATATATATATATATACTAGTGGAGCCCACAGACGTTGTCCTGCATGATATTTAAAGCGATTAGGATATTAAGCAAAGTATGAAAGTACCGACTGCAGTGCCATCTGCCGGGCTGATTTCTGAATCTAAACCATTCCCAGATCCCCTTGAACACACACAAAAAATTTCATCAAAATCAGTCCAGTCGTTTGAGAGAAGTTCAGTCACATACACACGCACATAACATATATATATATATAAAATTCTCGTGTACGTGTGTATGTCATTGAACTCCTCTTAAACGGCTGGACCGATTTGAATGATCTTTTTTTGAAATCGTTTGGGTGGAGCCCGGGCTGATTTGTGAATCTAAACCAGATTCACAAATCAGCCCGGCAGATCGCGATGCAGTCGTTACATTCATACTTTGTTTAATATCCTAATCGCTTGAAATATCATGCAGGACAACGTCTGTCGGGTCCGCTAGTACTATATATATATATTTGAGGCACGATGCCTGAGCTAGGGCATTACCTTAAAACATGATCAATAAGATGCAATTGAATACTTACCTTTTTGCTGGGTTACGGGTCAAAACTCTAATAAGGCAATATTCTAAAAGAACAAATTTCTCGCCAAGAATAAAAATGCTTGTATTATGAATTAAGCTAGAAATTTTAGTATTTAGTAAGAATCAGTGGCTATTAGACCGAGAAAATTGAATTTCTTGGCTCCAATAAGCCTTCGTTAATAACTTCGCTAAAGTTATATTTCTTTCACTTCAGCTTTTTCAATTCCTCCTTCACTAGTGATAGTACCTTCATTTAACAGACATCTTAGAATACATTAATTAACCCTTTGTCTTAATTTATTGTACCCTATGCATGTATTTTTATTTTAAGTAGTTTTTTGGTATATTATTTTAATTGTTTACCTTATTCACGCCGAGGGTTGTCTTGAAGAAACTGCTACATTTAACTATTTTGTCGTTTATTTTACCAAATTGTTATGTGAATAAATGATTACACAAAGTGTTTCTTATTACTTCATCTGTCCACGAAGATACACATGGTGATCGTAAAGAATTGTGCGATTATCAGCTGCTGTATTTGGTAATAGACCCTCATATTGTTGAAGTAAACTTTGCATTCATGATCAATTCAGTTTACGGTTTCTTTCGAATATTTCTCCATCCTTTCTACATAACTATAAACTTGAATCTAATATTTCTTCAGAGAAAAACTAATGTGAAAAATTTCATCTTGTAATGTTAAAAACAAACATAAATAATTTAATCATACTTAACCAAAGTCCACAGCTTTACCAGTCTGGAATTGATTAAAATCATCACTCAATAATTTGATAAATTAATGTAATATCCAAAGTACTACAAGATATTTAAAGCTTTCCTATATAAATAAAACTCAATAGATGGTGAAATGTGCTTTTATCAGTGAAAAATTATAACTATGACACATCAGACACTTCATATAAATACATTATCGTGAGTAATATTGTCCTTTTCCACGATTTACGTTTATTTAAATTAATTGACAGTTAATTAAAATATAAACAAATATTAGATTTAGAACAATACTATTTCCTTAGTCATGTTAGTATATTCATACTATTACGATGTGTAATTAAATAGCAACACTGTTTAGGTAAGAGCCTAAAATAAAATGATAAGTTTATTAATTTAGCTATAAATCATTATTGTGAAACACAAATGCACCGTAAGATTTGTCCATTTTCTTTCTCCTATAGGTACAATTAAAAACGGTCACCTCTATAAATACTTTACTCGTCACTATTTAAATTAATAATAATTAATTAACGTTTACATAACCCATTTTATCATTCCTTTTGAACCACTAGCCTTTGAACAATTTTTGTGCACGTAAAATGCAAAACAGGTGCTTAATTTATTACATAATCCATCGGTAGTAGATCATATAATAATCCAAAGAATTAACAAAATTACTGGTGAAATCGTATAAAATTCCGTAGTTTGTCGATAGACATACCCAATAAAGAATTATTTTAGATAGATAGTGTTACACTGCCACAGGGACCAAACTTTTTTTTTTCATTTTAATTATTTCTATTATTACTTTGTAGGTTCAGAAAATTGTAAATACTGTAAACTTGATTGTAAAGATAGTGTTATAATCAAAATACAGGATTTTAAAATATAATTAATTGTAAAAGTTTAATACCAAATTGTTTATATACATTTCTAAATTATAACGTTAAGACCCTAAAGCCTTTTCAACTTTTGTTATGGCCTTCAAGCAGGATAGTTAGGACTGTACACAATGTGAGAGTAAGAGAGAAATGTCATTTCTCTGAATTTTTTCGTTACGTAGAGAAATTTTTGGTAGAAACTTTTAAAGAGGTAGAATTTTGTTTATCACTAACTGTTATAATGTCTTCTGTAGTATATTTGTATTTTTTATGGAATTAAATAAAACTATATTTTTAATAAAATTTATCAGGAAAACTTTGATGATAAAACAGAACTAAAATGGTGCAGGCCAAAGGGCCTTAAACAACTTCAAAATTTGAGTCTGAGAAACTTACAGGCTGATGGTGGTTGTTACTAGAAATTATACGAAATTTATACAGACATAAATATACTAATACAATATTTAAAAAATACCAAAACACTACCTTAGCTTTACGTAAACCTTAATAAGGCTTAGTTTTCTCTTCAGAAAAATGATTAATTAACAAATATATACTGAGACTATACAGAGCAGATCGTTTTAATTAGAATTATACTTTTATTGAAATAATAATATACTAATAATAATATATGTTGAAGCGTAAAAATATAATCAAAATTTTAGAGGTGAGGTGCGTTTTGGTACATTTTCTAAATGTTGCTTTAGCGAGTGAATTGTATCTCACTTCCGTATTTGCAAAAACGCTAACAATGTTTTTGCTATAAACACATTCTCCAAAAGCCTTTTAAAATTATTGTACACTACCCTCATTTCGGTCGCAAAATTTTTCCAACTTACGTGCCGATACATTTTATGCACGAAGACAATAAAAAAATATATCTTTAATGTCATTGATATATATGTGATTAAAAGGCCGACCCTAACGGTAACATAAACCATAACCTCCTAAAACCATTTAAAACACTTTAGTATCTGATATAGGCCAACAGATGTCAGTTAATTAAAAATATTTATTCAATCAAAATGTGCTACTTACATGAAAATTGATGAAATTTATTTTCGTATTATATCTATACATGTTTATACAAGGAACTTTAAAACTTAAATTAAAAAATAACACCTATGCAATAAACTATTTTAGCATTATTTAATGTTCCAACAACCTGAAATTAAAAATTTAAATCTATATTATTAAGAAATCGGCAGAATGTCTTAACGTTAATCTAGTCTTAAGGCCTGTCAATTTTGCGATTTTATACCAAGTCTAAGTAATTACATTTTGTAATACGCTAAACATAAAATTTCATTAATTTAGTTTAGTCATTTAAAATACTTCAGTGGTCCGGTAACATTTAGTAGGACCTAATTAATAGATCACATTTAACACGTCACCAATATACAAGTTGGCAACACCGGCCCAGAGATGACTGCAGTACTCCTAATACATGAAAGGTTTTTAGCTTGACAATAGAAGCCTTTCGTAATAACCATTATAAACATAATAAACAATTTCAGTCCCAAAAAGAGGTGAACATCGTTATAATTGAGGAATTGAATATTATGACACTGTCTGGTCAATATATTCTTGAAGCCTTGTTGTATGTACAAAAAATATAAACGATTTTAAAACTAAATGGTTCACCAGTATAATACGCGAAACAACAAATTTGAGTGTACACACAAACCACTCCTTATATGGAAATTGTATTCGTTTTTACAACTAACTAAAGCGAAATCAGAGAATTATCATTGAATAAATTCAGAACTCTCGTTGAACGTAAATTAATCAATGAAGCATTTTATAGGTTTGATTATTTAAATGATCCTCATCCTTGGGATTGATTTGCTTCAGTTCAAACAATTGGTATTACTCAAAACTTGGCGATTAAAAAGAGTGGCGGAAAGTTTCTTGCGCGTTCTTCTTGTCCGCTCTACGCCCTTGACTTGCGAACTGGTAGTAAATGTAAATTAATAATCAATTTAACATATTTTCTGTTGACGTTTTGAGTTTGAGTTTCAGTTTGAATGTTGCATCAATGAATACCTTTTTCTATTACATTGTTTTAAGCAGGTCGCTATGGAGCCTAAACTTAAAAATGTGATCTATTGAATTCGGTCCTACTGTACATTCACAATTTAAATATATATATATATATATGATAGAGAAGCATACAATGTCTTAAGACATGTAAAGTTAAACAATATCTTAATGAGATTTTTCATATGATCATCCAAAATAACAATTTCCAACAAGAGGTTCTCTCTTAAACTTATAAATTTTCCATACAATAAAATTCGTACCGTACAATGTATTTAGTACCAAATACGCCCACAGAAGGCTGCTTTTAATACTTTAAATACTCGAATATACATATTTGAATCGAGCAAATGTTTTATTTACCTAAGATCAACTCTTTCGACTTTAGGGGAATGCATTTCTCTTCCAGTTGGCGCTGGAAGGTCAACACACGACGTCTTCAAGTGCATCGACAGCAGCCCTTTGGCCACAAAGCCACGCCCGCAAACCTCACACTTGTACGGCCGAGCGCCGCTGTGGTACCTGGAATATTTGAATTATTTTAGATTTTATTTTTTATAGGAAGGAAATATCAAATGGAAAGATGGTATGTGTCACATTTCTATGTTTGGACTAGAGCAATTGTTGTCCCAATAATTTTTTTTTTTTTTAAATAAATATTTATAGTTAGAAAAGTGTACGTAGCGCCACCTACGAATAGTGTTTGAAAATAAATGTTCCTTTCTTGTGAAAATTGTCAATAGATCTTTTGCTTTTCGCTTGTAACGATTAGGATTTAGAGCAGTGTTGGCTTTGTGGCTTCTGCGACTCTCATCCCAGAAGTCGTAGGTTCGATTCCCCCGGCTGTGCACAAATGGACTTTCTGTCTATGTGCGCATTTAACATTCGCTTGAACGGTGAAGGAAAACATCGCGAGGAAACCAGCTAGCCTAAGGGATCCCACACAAAACTGCGATGCGATGCGATGCGAATTCGCATCGCAGGAACTTGCGATGCGAATTTTTGCGATACGATTTAGTGCGTCAAACCGTTTGATAGGGCGACCATTCTTTCGAAGCCAGCCGTACTGAACGTGTTTTTAAGAAGCGTAAGATGGATCGCAAAAAGATTATTGCACTGCTGTTATTATTAAATAGATATAAAAGAAAAAGAAGATTCTGGGTTCATCCATTCATTACGATTATGAACTCTGATGGGAACTATTTTATTCAAAAGTACTATGCGTTGAGAACTGAAGATAATTTTTTTGATTATTTTAGAATGAGCATATCTTCATTTGAAGAGCTTTTGACTGACTATCAGGTAAAGTAAAACAAAATGTATTTATTGACATTTTAATTGTTTGTCTCAGAGCGGACTAAAATGGTGTCACCAAGGATGACGTAAAATTGCAGGAATGTGCGATGCGAAGCAGATCGGAAATTCTTGCGTTGCGTTCGTGAGAATTCGCAGATATTTGCGATGCGATGCGAATTCGCAGTTTTGTGTGGGAGCCCTAAGACCCAAAAGTCGACGGCGTATGTTAGGCACAGGAGGCTGATCACCTACTTGATCGACAAATGATCATGAAACAGATATAGAAATCGGAGGCCCAGATCTAACAAGGTTCTAGCACTGCTAATTTTGTTTTTAACGATTAATCGTGAATCAAAATAAAATATAATTTAGCTATTTGCCTCTTTTCTTTTAAAACCCACCCAAAAGCTTTTAAAATGTTTTTATTATTTATTAGTTACCCGGAACGTTTACTATAGCATCAGAACAAAATTTATGTGGGTAGATTTTTTGTGTAGATTTACAATTGAATGAATGGCGAACTTATTATGAACTCAAATTTTATACAAAATTGTATTTTTTGGTTATACCTTTCGTGTATGACGAGTGTGGATCTCTGTGAAAATGCTTTTCCACAATGCGAGCAGACGTAGGGTTTTTCACCGGAGTGCACCCTCTCGTGTAACGTCAGGTTGCATTTCTTTACGAAGCCTTTGCCACAAGTTCTGAAATGTCAAAATTAATCATCAACACAACTTTTGCATTCCGTCTTTACAAATTAGAGCATATAAAATCTTCTATGCCTATCAATAGGCAAATCGTTTTAATGGGAATCTGAAAACCTCAAGGATATGTGTTCACCAATAAGACAGCCATAGCATCCACTTCCTCCAGCAGAAACTATACTTTTGCAGACTCTGCAAATTGCGGCTAAACATGATAGGCAAACGGGCAGGAGGTGCACCTGATATTAAGTAATACCGCCACCCATAGACTCTCACATTGCCAGAGGACTCGCAAGTGCGTTGCAGACCTTTTAAGAATTGATACGCTCTTTTCTTGAAGGACCCTAAGTCGAAGTGGAAGACTGCCAATAGAAGAAGTGTTTAGACTGGCAACGAACAGAAGACTTCGAAGAATGACAGCCTATCAGGAGTCATCGGAGATGCAACGCAAGTGAGCGTTTATAAGCGTTTTCAGAAAAAAAAATGAATAAAGTGTCCATTAGTTTATTCCCGAATTCTTGTCAAACAATTGAACGTGTAAAATTGTGAATTCGATTTCCCGGATAAATTAAAATCTTTTGGTATTTCGAAAACTTGTATTTGAAGTATTATTAAATAGTCTTTGTCTAGTAACAGCGCTCTTAACCCTGAGGTCGTGAATTCGAATCACGGTTGTCAACTTATTGATTTAGCGCAATTAACACTGCCTTTTCTTGTATGATTCAAGGACGGGACTTACACGGAGTACTCTGGTATGTCATCGTATTGGATTTTATTATATCTCTATAGTTCGAGCTAAATCTCGACTGCCAAAAGTCTATCAAGCACACAGGCTATATTCTTCAGGCTTCATAGTCTTAATACAAAATTTTTATTATTCCATTATATACATTTCCCAGACACAACTAGTGTTGCCACCTTTTTTTGCAATTAAAGTACATTGGCTATTATAAAAAATAAAATAAAACAGTGGCGCTACGACCTTTTCAGGTTTCGGCCTCAGATTTCTGAATCTGTTTCATGATCATATGTCTTATAGGCAAGTAGGTGATCAGCCTCCTGTGCTAATGCAAGCCGGTTTCCTCACGATGTTTTCCTTCACCGTTCGAGCGAACCGGGGATGAACCTACGACGGGATTAGAGTCGCACGCTGAAGCCACTAGGCCAACAACAAGGCAAAAAAAGCACAACTTTTTATATAGTAGGTTTTTGAAAAATATATTTTTATTATGATTTTTGCAGTTTGTATGTAACGAGTATCTCGACTAAACAACTGCACAGCATCTATGCAATCAATATTTAAACATCGATTAATTCCATTTACCGAAAAAAATATTTACTAACAATGAAATTACATCACGCGAAATTAAGTATTTTGTGTACTTTTTTGTTCTCATAGAGTGCAATTACTTGAAATAACGTACAATACTTTATAATGAAGTACGGGTAACAAACCTAGTCTTAACCTAGATAGATAATTTAAAAATTAAAACAAATGAAAAACGGTTTAGTCCCTTTACCTTTAATGCTATCATTCCGATTCCGATTTTACTTATACCAAAATCGTTTTACCAATATTTTCTAAACTTACTTGCAAACATTAGGTTTGTATCCCGTATGAATCCGTATATGAAACTTCAGATGTTCCCTAGACGTGAGCGACTTCCCGCAGACATTGCAAAGGTAATTCCGATCGCCCGAGTGCGATCTCAAATGCCTCCTCAATGAGTTGAGATGCGTAAAGGACCGACTACAAAGTGCACAGCGCAAAGCTAGCTCGCGAGACGATGCCTCGGGGTGAGTGCTATTGCGATGGGCTAGGAGACACCTAAAACAAACAAAGCAAATTGTGAGGGTTATGTAAAAAAACGTGTGTACTGATGTACACGCGTTAGAAGTTATACTTCTTTGGCGTAAGATAAAAATCTTTACAAAAATTTATTCTACGTTTGTAGTAAAAACGATTCTAACATTAGAATATAGCTTACTTCAGGGTGTCGGTTTTATGTGACGGTGTGCGCGCGCATCGTAAAAAATTACTCTTATCATGTTTCCCTAACGCGCCAAAAGAAGTATAACTTCAAAAGAGTTGTAACACTCATGTTTATTGAGAAAAAAAATTAAATAGTTAATTTTTTTTTACAATGCGAATAAAAAATACAATTATATGGTGCATTTTCTTGGAAAGGATTGAATTAAGAAGAACAAGGACAAGGGGTCATGGGAGTCATGACCCCCTGGGATCAACTTTCATTTCTTATGTTTAGGAGAAAAAATATCAAACATAGATGTTTTAATATTATATTGCTATTAATAGCAAGCAAAACATAGAAATCAATAAATTCTAATTTTTTTTTTATTAACAGCATAACAGCCAAAATTTTAACATTATAAAAAGTGTTATCAAAATTATTTATACAATTAGTCCATTTAGTATAAGTTTTAAATCACACTATAACCGTAAGTTACTCTTAGTAGTTAATTTAAAAAAAATCTTAAAGCTAACAAAAATTCCTTTACCATTAGAATACTTCATTATAAAATAGACTATTTATTTCCAAGATTCTAAGCTGCTAGCCATTATAACTTTATATTACCTCATATAAACGAATCCTTCGGGACAGAGGTCACAAACAAATCTCTTAACGGGCTTGCTGGGTTGTTGGTTTGGGTTTTCAAATTCTGGTTTATGTATTAGACCTGAAATAAGTAATTATAGATGCGTAATTCTTATATATTATATATTATTAATATTAGACAGCATCTAGGTCTGTACCCTAACTTCAAAACGGGCTTATGGTTTGGTAGTACTTATGGTGAATAAAATAGATTATTGCTTGCCCCGGGGAAAAAAGTTGTTAAAGCAAAATCTATTTTTTTTTTCAGTAAAAATTAAAGAAGGTAACGCTATTATTACTAGGATATTATGTACATTATATATACAAAATTATACTCGAAATGTCAACTATTTGACGATTGAAACATTGTTTTGTATTTAATGTAAATGGTTAAAAAATAACTTAATGTGCATTACAGTAATTTATCTATTTAGACTGAAGAGAAAATGCGTGTTTCGATTGTTTTACTTTAATTTCTTACTTACGACACAGTAACCGCACATACGACGGCACATTTTGACGAATGTCTAGACCGTAATAATTTATTACCACTCTTTATTTGTTTTATAACTGTCGCATTAAGTTTTTTTTTTTTTTTAGACAATTCACACCAATTGACCTAGTCCCATGCTAAGCTGGTGAAGCTTGTGTTATGGGTACTAGGCAACGGATATACATACATATTATAGATAGATAGACATATAAATACATAATTAAACACCCAAGACCTAAGCACAACACCAAATGCTCATCACATCGATGTTCGTGTCAGCCGGGGATCGAACCCGGGACCCATGGTTTCGCAGTCAGGGGTACTAACCACTAGACCAATGAGTTTTATGTTTATTTGGTAGAATTACAATCTAAACTTGTAAATAGTTGTATAGGTATGTTAACTAAAGCTGGCGGCTTCAACACATTTACACTTTGTGCTTGTGTAGTGTCTGTGAATAAGCGCGAGACGTGATGTCAAACTGAAATACAATCATAAATACATCATGAATAGACTGTCCGTCGTGTATGAGTGGACTAAAATGTATAGCATGGCAGAAAAATCATATTTTGAAACATACTGTATGTGAAATTGCATTAGTGTGAGTACTGTGAACCCGCCAGCTTTCGATAACCGACCTATAGATATCTATTTCAGGAAAGTAAAATTAGGTAAAAGAGTATTACTAACATTGTGCACAAAATAATTTTCGTAGGATAAAGACATCGTTGTTTTTAACAATAAAATGGTTTACAAAACTTCTGACAGTTATAGTACATCACTCAGAGGAAGTCAAAAATGAGAAAACATTAAAACAATTGTAATAGTGCTTTACGGCTTTGCTCCCCCGGGCAAGCGATATACATTAATAAGAAAAATACTTTTTACACCGTCTTAATTAACGTACGCCTATGTACGTCTATATAACATACTAGCAGACCGGCCAAGCGTTGCTGTGGCTAAGGTTTTAGTTATATTACATAGTAGTAACCTATTCAAGGGAAACGGTAGGAGAACACCAGTCATTGGGACCACCATGCTTTTTTTGGTGGTAATGCCATTAAATTGTAGCTTATGTGAAACGTTGGTACTTTCAACTAGAGATGTTATGGATATGATATTTCGGATCTGGATACGGATATGGATATAGGAATAAAATTATATCGGTTTCGGATACGGTTACGGATATGTAATTATTTCGGATTATCCGTTAGTTTCGGATAGTTTCGGTTACGGTTATTAGATTGAAGTAAAATATAAACACAAATAGTATATAATTTACTTTTATATATAGGTTTTATCTAGTCTAGGTTATCAGTTGGTATTATAATCGGTCATATAGGTAAGTAATTATTATACTCCTCCTCAGTTTTATCTATTAAAATAAAAGTGCAATAAATTTAATAGCTTTATAAAAACATTTAGCTTTATACATTGCACATATTAACTTATAACCTATGTATAACATATTAAATGTTTTCTTTTTAATTATTTTTGTGAGAACTGAAACCATTAACAAGAGCCTGTCGAAACATGTAGTTTTATCTAGATTTTGGACTCTGCCCTTATCCGAAACTATCCGAAAGTTGTGAAACGGATACGGTTAAGGTTACGGATATATATTTTTTTCGGATATCCGATTATTTCGGTTACGGTTACGGAGCTCCATAACATCCCTACTTTCAACACAGCGCCATCTGTAAGAATTGTGACTAACAGATGGCGCTGTGTTATCTAACTCAAATATTTTGCAATAAAATAATATTGCGGGTATAAATTGAGATGTAAGCTATCCTATCTTTTAAGTTGGATCAAACTACACACGGTGTGCAAATTTGATTGTTATTGGTTCGTTAGTTTAGGAGTCCATAGCGGACAAACAACGTGACACGTAATTTATATATATTAAGATTTAGACAAAAAGAGACGAAAAACTTTTGTTAAGAGTCCTATACTTTGTTTTTATGAATATTTAAAATAATCATTAAAATAACATAAGCAAACAGAACCAAACATGAATTTATTTATCAATATCAGAAAAAAACATCACAATAGATCTAACCACATAAACAACCCAAAATAAAGCTTTGGAATTCTTAGTATGTGGTTATGGTTTCGAGTCCCTGTGCACCAAGAATCTCTTTTAAATGTGCAATTATTATATCATTATGTCGCACACACATAGGCAAAGGAGACCATTGCACATAAAGCTACCTTTAAAGAGAATTTTCTGCGAGTATGTTTGTCTGTTATTATGTTATTGTATGTATTATTTGTTAACATAGTTGCACACTTGCCTGTAGTATTCGATAATGTAATCAGGGTTGCCTTGATTGACTTTCAATTAGGCTGTTCTTAATTATTTACTTTTATATTAAAATTTTAAATAATAGGTAATAGTTAATGTAATTACCGTGTTTCAATATTTGCTGATGACCCTGAAAAGACTTCTCACACAGTGTACATCTATAAGGTCGTCTATCCCGTTTCCAGTGACGCTGCCAGTGTGTACGCCATGCTTTCGGATTTCGCACTACCTGAAAGTAAAATTTATTAATATTAATTACTATTAATTATATAAATAAAATCAGTGGACCTTTTTAGGTCTGGGCCTGAGATTTCTGTATCTTTTATGATCATTTGTCAATCTAATAGGCAAGCAGGTGATCAGCGTCCTGTGCCTCGGTAAATAATCAGAAGGCTACGTGCAACGGGCATTTATAAATAATAAAAAAAAAATGCCTTCAAATTTGTACCAATATAAGCTTTTTATTGGAGAAAATTACCTTCTTACTAACTAAAAGGTTGGTTTTCTGACTTTTATATAGCAAACTGTTAAAAACATTTCCAAGCTTCATTAATAACAAAAAAACTGCTCTTAAACCCGGAATAACTATTATCAAATCTTCTACTCTATGTTCACTACTAACTAAGCCATATATTGTGAAGGCTTTAAATAATAAATAAATTTTTAGCATAACAACTACTAGCATTTTAGATTGATAAGCATAAAAATAAAGATATCTTACTTTCCGACATCTTTCACATCTACCTTCAGCTGGGAATGGCGGAGCTGCTGGAGGTTTCATATCTTGTGTCTGATCAACATGACTCCTGGAAATTTTATTATTTCTGATATAGCAATAAAATATATTTATTCTCTAAGTTATATTGTGTATTCATAGCAGTCATTTTATAACACAATTAGTATCAAATCAAAATTTATTTATTCATATTGCACACATATGAACATAAAGGATAAAAGGGTGGATCTAAATTAACATTTAACAGGCTCATTTGCATGTAATAAAAAATATTTTTATTTGTTAAACTGTTTTTCATAAATCTGAATAAAACAATGTTGTTCTTAATGTGGTCTTGTTTATACTAAAATTATCAAAGAAGTGAGATTTGTAAGTCTGTATGTTTGTAACAAACCAACTAAAAACTACTGGACCTTTTTAAATTTTCTTTCATTATTAAAATGCAACATTATCCCTAACAACATAAATATATTTATACTCATATAAGATTGTCTAAATAAAAGTACAAAACCTAAAAACCTATAATTAAAATTCCCAGTTGACTTACTTGTAATGTTTAATCATATCACTTTTTGTCTCGCACTTAACAAAACAGATACAACAGTAATAAACTTCCTTATCAAAATCCATATTATCAAATCCGTCATCAGATTCATCTTTAACTATTTCTAAATTAATGCTGTCTTTCAAATTCATATCAAAGAATTCTGCGTGCAACATAGCATGTTTTTTCTTTTGTGCAGACTGCACATGGCCATTTATTTCATTTTCTTCTTTTGGATTTTTATTTTTCTTAATCTCTATAAGGAGATTATCATCGCTGTCTGATTCGTGTCCATCGTGTCCATTCGTGTGATCAAAACTGTCATCATATGAATCCGACTCCTGTTTTATAACAATGGGTGACTGTAGTTGTTCAATTTTTACTTTTATCTGAAATTCTTCTTCTGTCTGAGTACTTTGTTCATTTTTTAGATAATCAGTAGTTTTGATGCCTAAATTTAGTGTATTTCTTACAGGATTTGGTACAGTTATTGCTAACTGCAGGGATAGCATTTTCCTGAGTCTGAAAACCAGTTGTGGAACAAAAATTAGATATTAAATAAACTTTGTTGTAGAGAAATGTGGTTATTTTACACCATATTTAACATGTTTATAGAGAGGTTACAAATGTAGACTGCATTAAATTACTTGACAGAAAGAAATTCTTCATGTATTTTTTATTTAAACTTATTTAAATATTATTTCCATAATAACTGAAAAATGTGTACTTAAAATTCCATATTAACTCTAAAACAATGAAAAAATTTGCCAAATAATGTTTTATATAAATACTATTTACAGATAGTTGTTTAAACGAATAATTTTATATATTATCTATCGTAAGTACAAAGTGTATTGTAATAATTTATGTATCTAAGGTTACCTGTTTTCGACTTCGATTGTTTCATTACAAAACTGATAGAAATCATTGACTTTGCAGCTACATTTGTCACAAATTTTCTTGGGTAAAGGATCATTTTTGACCACCTAAAATTAAATTAAATATATTAAGCCCTAAAATTCTACAGGCGAAAATAGAACATAGAAACTAATGATTACATTATAAGTTATACCTTTATTGGCAAATACATGGACATTTTTGAAAACAACGCCTTTTCTTCGTCAAATATGTAGTTGTTTACAAATTTGGTGGAACAACAAAGACGACAAATATCGTCCATTGCGAAAATAAACAAGATTTACGAAATCATAAAATATAATATACTTGGGATGTTTGTACTTGGACTCGAAAGTTTTCGGCCACAGGTTTTCGTCTTTTCCACAAACTACGAAATGACAGATTGTTGTTCGTGGTTGTGTGTCAGCTATATGTCAAATTAATTATTTGTCTAAGTGTTGCCATATAACAATATTGTAAGATTTTTGAGGAACACCTAAAAAGAAAATGTATATACATAGTGATCTGTACTTATATTCTTGTATATTATAGATTAGCAGACAAAAGGGGTGGGCGGTGAAGGCAGGCGCAGACGAGCCCTTGTGCTAACTTTTGATTAATGAACGGACTAATATGCATTGTTCAAAAGTTTACTTCTTGCAATACAGAAAATAAAATTGAAAGTTGGACTTATATTTGTGGACTGGTATTTGTGAAGTAAACTTGGACGTTTGTTAAGGGTAGCATATTGATTTAAGTTTTAATTTTCGATATTTATAGGTACTTTTATTCAAATGAAATCAACCTAGGTAACACCCAATTCTTTCAAAAATCATTAGCCATACAAAGAAACAAAGAATCAATGCAATTAATTCTACAGTCTATAAATTCTGTGAAATACCTAATTATAAGTATACAAATCACACCTAGGAAACAAAATCGAATCAAATTTTCATAATCATACATAGTTAAACATTAAAAGAATTGGCATAATATAACTTCCTTGTGCGAGTTCTTTTGCGATAGGCCGCGATAAATACGTCGACAGCCACTTATCTTTATCGTGCGCCTTCAATAAATAAAGTGTAAAAAAACGAGATAAAAACAAGGTACCTTTGTAGTGGCTGACGTGACTGGTATGAATTTCACTATTTACTAATCGTTTTACAATGCAAAGTTTATACTTTATAACATATTCCCAAAAATGTGACTGTCCCTGTCACTACTATCAAACCATTTCCCCTTGGACCTGGTCCCTTTTGCGTTACTAATTACACATACCTAAATCATTATTATGTTTTCTCCAGGAGTTAATCTCCTGAATAAATCCACGTGACCAAACAGTTGTTTGCTTTACGCAATCCTGCAATTTAGTTTTATATTTGATCAACGATCAAACGAAACGAATAAAGACACAATAATTAAGGCCATTATAATTATTGTGTCTTTAAAATATAACAAACATTTACTCTTTTGTAACCACCTCGTGTGGATTAGCTACCTATAAAATACTTTTGTTGGCATTATTATAATGAAGAGTAAATATTACACTTTTTCTGAGTCTGAACCGAGACGAAAAGTATATTCCTGGAACATATACAGGGGGTATACATTTTTATACAAGGTATTTTATCTAACTTCTGTAAAAAACAACATTAGGTTGTTATGTTATCCGATATTCGGGCATTCACTAAATGATATACTTACGTATAATTATATTCATATAAACATTTAGTAATTATGAATAAATTTTATTAAGTACCATAACCGATGTGCGTCTACGTCTGTTAATTGTTCATACATATTTTATGGGCAAAGCTTGACTACGGTGGGTGTATCATAATGTTTTAACTACCAAGATGTTCCCAAGTCTATGCATAGTCGAAACTTGTCAGGTGTCAGGCTCTTAATTCTATACCATAAAGTGAATCCCATTGCCCTGTAATTGACCATCTTCTCTCTATTATTGACTGACGCTAATTCATCTAGGTGAAGACCCTGTCCGAAACATTCTAATTACGTTTATGAAAAACTAAACTAGGATTTTGAAGTCGAAAATAAGTAACTTATGTTAGATATACCGTAAGGTGTGCGTAAATAAAACATAAACCTACAGATTTCACCAAATTTTGGTTACATTTAATAGCGTAGCAAGCCTTTATCAGAATTCAATGTTTGTGATTTGTTATTTAGTACAACTTGTCTTGCACTGGAACGTTTCGTGTGAATTTAATCAGATACCATTTGATAACAGTGAAAAATAGGTTCAGGTGTGGCCCTATCAGCTATTAGATTATATTCCTTGACACCAATCTTAGCTTCGTATTAAGCTTATATGTTGATTTGGAGTCCAGTGTCCACTGTGCGGTTTCTGGGCCCACGGAATGAACTATCAATTCATATGAACTGTTAATTCAATTAAAACTATTATTATAAGAAAATTGATAGAGGATTTTACTGCTATTAGAAGGATTGTTTTATGCTGCTTTGTTTCTAATGAAATCTCTTACATCAAACGCTAAAACTATACATTGTCAAACAATGTATACCCGAAATTTTAAACACCTCTTCAATCACTCTTATCTGTGCGATTGTTTTCATAATCACTCTTAATACCGAAAATGGAACCGAAATCGTCTAAGTTCTATACAATAGCGAGATTTATGTAATTTAACTAATATATTATGTTAATATTTAAAAGCGTAAACAAAATGTAAACAATCATCGCACATCGGCTTCAATGCCCTTTAGTTTTTACCACACTCATAAATTGTAATTTAACATTTTCGTTAAGTGTCACTTAGATTTACGAACTCTTCAATAATTCTAAGGTAGTTTTTTGTGAATCCAGTGTCGCAACCCCACTACCCCTAATGTTATCTTAGTTATAAGCTCATGTTTTAAACAATCAAAGTCAGTTGTTACCCAGCTTCAAACAAATTGTTTCATTTAACATATATCTGAACATTTCCATACAACAACCGCCGACGAACTTAATTCCGGTCTACTACTTCTGCGCATCTAAGTCTGACTTTTGTACTTCTAATATTTATTGGATATTGACCTCCGGGAGTCAGGTCGCGCTAACTATTATTTCTGAATCTCACTTTAACTTCTGCCAACATAGGTACGTCATAGGAACTATTGTTAATAAAACTTCATAACCATTCATATTTACTACTATTATAAAGAGATACACTTTGTGAGGTAGATGATAATTTCTAGATTCACGAGGGGGCTTTTCCAAATTTGTTTTAAAAATAATTATTTGTAAGTTCAGATTTTCATATGTTTTAAAATCTACTTACTGTGTTTCGTTAACAATTTCCAAGTATTTTTTTCTTAAACCTATCATTTAAGTTTCTTAAATTTAATTTATTAGCAAAATGAGTTTATATATTAAAATTGTTTTCTAGTTACCCACAACTCAGGGACTCCCTAGTGTGGGGACTAGCGATATATGAATTATGTCACAACCCTTTTGCCATAAATAAAGTTTTTGAAGTATTACTTCTTTTGGCGCGTTAGGGAAAAATGTTGAGAGTAATTTTTACGATGCGCGCGCACACCGTTACAAAAAATCGACACCCTGAAGTTAACATAGTCAACATTTTAAAATAAAAAATGTCCATTTCTTTAACTATGCAGAAATTTTTTATTTTTGTGATATTTAAATAAACTTTATTTAACTAGATAATGCGTTATAATAAAACATTCAATGTATTAAACACCTTTTTTCTATTGCTAGTGTCGTTTTTACTAGAAACAGAATAAGGCAAATAATAAAATAAAAAAATATATTTTTATCTTGTTACGCCTAAGACGCGTGTTCACGCAGGTATTTTATTAATACTTTTTTAGACTAATCATCCATGGTTTGATAAAAGGATTGCTCACATTTGTCTTCGGGGCTATATACAAGAGGGTGGGTCAGATGCACAGATGATTCTTTTCAGTTTCAATAATGCCCTTGAAGCGCTGTTATATGAAATATTACTTTATACAGACAATTAGAAGACAATATGTATGTAACATTGTTGTCTGGTAATTGTTTTAAATTGTATAATTTCAGTTAGAGTGACATAATTGTAATTGCTTGCACATTACTTCAATAAACCGAATCCAACTGAGTTTTGCAGTGCAAGTAATTTTTGTTAGATTTTATCGATTGAAAATGATGCTCTAGAGGACAATGTTCTCCAACCTTTTTAGTGCCATAGCCTTAGCTTTACTAATAAAGTTCTCTCCCCCAGCACTAGTCAACATATATAGCTTTTAATTTTTTGCAAATTCATCCTTAAAATTAGATATAAATGATACCCATAATATTTTTCCTTAAAACATTTAATGAAAAGATTAAATTCAACATTAATCAAATAGCCCCCCTGTGGGGCGTGGGCCCCACGATGGGAAACACTGCTCTAGGACCTCTATAAAATCATTGCCTTCTCAACGTCCTTCTGCTTTTTACCACTTTTGTACCAGATTGGCTGTGTAACTTGGGTTACTAGTCTAAACAGCTCCTCGGCGGATGTACCGTTCCCCTCCCGTGCGTTCCGCAACCACGACTTCTTCCTACCCGTCCATAACCATTAATTTTTGCCCATCATTATAATCTGCAACGAGTCGTATCGATGATGACACAAAACGTGTCCCAGATATGCAATTTTTCGTATTTTAAACGCTTTAATGGCCAAGGGTGCACAACACCTGGGGTATGTTATGGCCTATGGGGAGTGTTATCCCCTAAGTTTCTAGATTTTAAAAAGAATAGAATTCTTGTTCAAGTCTAGCGACGACTTAGCACCAATGGAGTTTCTATGCGCAATTAGCACTTTGATTGTAACATGACTTGTGACTGTTAACATCATGAGAACAAAGATGATATAAAAAATGCTTTTACAATAATTATTGTATAACTTTAATGAGTTTGAAGGGTCATTAAGTTTATTGTACAATTATATAGTAAAAAGAGCAGTGTTGGCCAAGTGGCTTCAGAGTGCGACACTCATCCCTGAGGTCGTAGGTGCGATCCCCGGCTGTGTACCAATAGACTTTTCTATGTACGTATTTAACATTCGCTCGAACGGTGAAGGAAAACATCGTGAGGAAACCGACATGTCTTAGACAAAAAAGCGTTGACGGCGTGTGTCAGGCACAGGAGGCTGATCACCTACTTGCCTATTAGATTGAAAAATGATCATGAAACAGATTCAGAAATCTGAGGTCTGCTAAAGAGGTTGTAGCGCCACTGATTTATTTTATTTTATAAAGTAAAAAGCGACTGGGAACTGCTGTTGGCAGGCAATATCTTTTTTTATTGGTCCTACGCACCAGGGCAGTAGAAGCTAAGATATATTTATTTATTTTTAACAGGAAAATAAACTTTAGGAAGCTGGTGGGAGTTGATGCTATTTGATACATTCTTGTCAGCCTATGTACACGTGTCTGTGTCCAAATTATTTAGTTATTTTTTTTTACATTACAAGGTATTATGTTTCGCTTTGGCTTAAAATAATAAGTGTGTGTGTGTTGTATTATTGGTTACAGACGGCCATTGGGGGTAGCAAGGTCACATACAAATCTATATTAAGTTCGAAACAACACATTCGTAGCTAATTTCAGAAACGTAGTTGTGGGGGTGTATTGTGTAAATTGTAATATATATTTCGCAGCTTTCGGTAATTCTATTATATGCGTAATACAAAGTTTTTTTTTTATTTTACAGGAGGCTCACCTGATGTTATGTGATACCACCGTCCATGGACACTCTCAATGCCAGAGGGCTTGCGAGTGCGTTGCCTGCCTTTTAAGAATTGGTACATTTTCTTGAAGGACCCTAAGTCGAATTGGTTCGGAAATATTTCAGTGGGCAGCTGGTTCCACATATTTTTATTGGATTCAGTAGTTCCTGATATTAACGCAACTCAAACATCATCAAGATCGTTCTATAGACTTGGATGAGACTCATATACTATGGTCTAGACTCTAGTGATTGAAATAGAAATAAATTAAAGCAGTCTTTTGATCATTAATATAAATAGATGAATTAGTATTAATAATTATAGTTAAAATATCACACTAATTCAGTTAAATCCAAATAGTTATTTAATTCAAAATACAAAAAACTAACGTCACGGGAATTGTACTTCCAATCCCTCGATTAAAAAGAGTGGCTGAAAGTTTCTTGCCAGTTCTTTTAGCCCGATCTACGCCCTTGATTTGCGAACTGGTACTAAATGTAATTTAACTTCTTTTCTGACGTTCATAAGTGTACTTGTTTACCTATATTAATAAAATTATTTTGAGTTTGAATTGCAAATTACGTAAATGTATGTCGTATGTAATCTTAGTCTTAAATTGATACCATTGCTATGTGTAAAATACCTTAACTCTAAAAAAATCATCTTGGCCAGCATATCCTACTATGTTAAGTGTCCTTCGGTATTTTATCTAAAGGCCTCAGGAACAAGGCTGACAAAGAAATTGCTAAGACACACCGTCTTTGGTTTCCGACATATGTCTTTGCGGTAAAATAACTCCCTTGCACCAGACTTTGGGGATCGAACATATCCTGGATTTAAAAAAATCAGTTTGAACTTGACAACCCACCAACAGCCTTTCAACGAGTTATCGAACCAGGCCAGAGTCACTATTAAGTATATTACAAGATCTCGAAACCCCAACCCATATATGAACTCTAATTCACGCATAAATCGCATATTATGACCCAAAAGTTGTCAGACTAACGCATGCCCGAAGAACCTTGAAACATTTGATAAACATAAGATGAAAATCGATAGGAAAACTTGCGAGTCAACTTTGTAATTCAGTGAAACGGCACATACGAACTCCGGCTTAACTTTAACCCACATAACAAAGTTCAATGTAAACACAATACAGAAGTTTTCGAAGTTCCAGTTCACGGCCGCGCTGTGCCCCCTATCCCCCTATTTTCCCCCTTTACCCCGACCCCCCGAAGTTATCGCGGCCCCAGATATTACTCCATACCTTTCACTCTTCACCCACTCATAGCCTACGGACAATTTTCGTTTACAGCCATTAATACAAGCTCTATTTCTTTTTTATGTATTGCTTTTATATAAAACTAGCTTAAAAAACATGTATCTGTATAATATCTATGGTTTATTAGTAATTACTAAAGTGTCTAAAGAACGTATATTTAAATTAACACTCCTGTGTCAAGAAAGTAATTTAAATCCATTATTATTACTATGTTATGAGTCTAAAACAGCTACCACAATATAAATCACTTTACTAAAGATATATTTAAAAGATAAAATATATTTAAAGATAAATATAGATTAGTATATATATAGCAAGGAAAACTGCCAGCTTTAATGGTACACAGGAACCGAACATTTGAATTTGTTTTAATTTTCTATTTATTAATGTTTAATTATTACTATATAGCTAAAGAATATTGAAAATACTATATATTTGTGTTTTTAAAAGATGGACTTAAGAAATATGGATTTAAAAAAATATTAACACAAACCCTTTTTCAATTTTTTTGGCGCGCCCTCTTGCTAAAATTATTACGTTGCGTGTTGGTTGGTCCACGTATCACAATGTTATCTATATATATATTCTGGTATTCAATTATTTTGTATTAAGGTTTGGGTATAGTATGGATCTGGTACTGATTTTAAAAATTCCGTTACCGGCATAAAAACATTATTTCTGATAGTGACAAAATTGATTGTCATTGATATTTGACTTTTGTTTTTCCATACAACTTACATAAATATCGATAAAGAAATATTGTTAATCATGAAAAACATACCGTAATGACGACAACATGATTAAGTAATAAAAAAACCTTTATTATATATATGTTATAATTCTCTAATATATCTTATTAAGGGACTAGGACGGGCAAGACTCCAATTATTACTGCTTCGATGATGGAAATATATATAGATGTGTTATGCCCTGCGTTTCCACTCGCATTAATTCAGTATTACCGTGATGTTGAATAACTTAAAGCCTCCTTAGATATATTGACTAATATAAAAGAGAATTTACAATACGAAAAGTAGAAAAAAGAAGAAGAAAAGAAAGCCCCTTTAGTTTGAGTTATCCATTTCCCATCGCAATATATTCGGGCTGGAAGAAATACCGTTGAAAAACTCTTCAGCGTAATATTAAAGTAATATCGACTCGAAGAATTAAAATGATTTAAATTACACCTGTATCTGTTCCAGAAAGCACACCTAAACTCTTATCAAATGACACCATTTGATAGGCACCTTATCTGTCATGTCGAAATTCTTCCACGTACATGCCTATTCTAATAATAATACCTAAATTATATATCTCTTAATAGAAATTTTATTTTAACACCATGATATATCTGCTTGTTAACATTGAACCAACTTTTCCGAAAGAAATCAATGATTTCAAATGATTTAAAAATATGATATTATTGATAGCTCAATTATAATCCTATATCTATATTAAAATAAAATTCACAGCTTATACAACTATATTTCAATTTGAGTCGACTGAAATAATAATTAATATTTCAGACAAACACGTAATCCCTATATCAAGTAGACGAGAAAATATAATTATCTATTGCCGAGATATAACGTAATAAACGTGTATCTCCATTGTAAACAACTAGTCATAGTGTGGTTCTATGCAGATAGCTGGTGCCATCGGCCCCGGGCGGCTGACACCTTCGAGTCCTGAACCGGCTTATCAAGGCCTTGCCTATTGGTGGAGTAAAGTGTTTGCGTCCCTGATATCAGCAGTAAAGACCAATCGATTCCACGAACCGTCCAATCTTATCATAATCATGGTGGACGTTCGTACCTCGTGGCAATTCCCTGATATCGTATCTGAAGATATGATCGAGTGTATAAATATGGGACCATCGATTGATCGACTCTCTATCGAGGTTTGAGCTGTGATTAATATTGACTTCAGTGTTCTGAATGGTAATTTCTGGTGTAAATTTTCCGTGTGATTGTAATCAGTCTGTGCTCCATTTTGTTTTATTCTATTTTTATCATCTACACGTAAGTAGCTCGAATAGTGCCATATATTTCGATTACGTAATCACGCAACATGGCACATGTGTTTCCTTAATTCATGAATGCCGCTAATAATCACATTTTATGAAAATGAATAGTGGTATTTAGAATAGTCAACGTGACGGGAAAAAGAGCTCTTATCTGAACGTTCGCCGCACCTTTTCGAGCGGTGATAGCACGCTAGCTACATAACGCGCGCGCGCACTCTGATTATCACACGGAATTAATACACGACAATCACATAATATTTTACATTTAATTATTGTTTGTTGCAGGACACGCGAGTCGACGGATATTACGGCTACATATCTGAGTTGGACAGGGGATCTTGACAGTTTGCTTAACGCTGCCAGATCTATCTTTCCAGCTCATATGTGAGCCCACCTACGTCATGACACATCAGCAGTAGAAGATATGAACAAGAAATTGCGTAAAGGATTAAGTGGAGGTGTGATCTCTTCACTTTTTATGTTTAAAGTGAGATTCAACTCCTCCAACTTAACCCTGAATCGCATTTGCATCTGAACGGCGATCTTCTGAAGCTCAAATAATTTGATAAATTATTTATTGTAACTATTGCTTATGATTTCATGTGTCACAAGGTTGAATTATGAGTATTAAAGCTGTAAAATTTATATTTTTGACAAATAAAGATAGTAAAATTTGCTAGTTACATTATTTCATAGCAATCCTAAAAGAAAAATAAATTACTTAATATAAAAAATATCTTTTATATTTTACTCTACCATTACACTTATCAATAAATCTGCATTAGTCATGATAGTTCTTTACAAAACTCGAGTTATCAGTTGAAATAAATTACTTGAAATTACCGCCTTGGTATTCCTATACAGTAGATGGCGCTGACATCCGCGCATGCGAGTTTTGGGGAACACCCAATCCATTCGAACTAGTGTGAAGTTCGGCACAAATCACAAAAAAAATCACAACAGCCATACAAAAAATGGGCAAAAAAATGTTGGTAACACCGGTGCGCTAAAAAAGCTTGCAAACTTCACGCACGTAACCTGCGCTGGACATCGACTCGCTCGTATCTAACTCAGGGAAAATGTATATTGATTTTTCAAAGAAAACTCAACCGATGTAACAAAACACCGTTCGCGGAGTGTTTATACGCGTATTAAAACGTCGCGGTCGATGTTTTGTATCGCCGAGATGGTGCGACGGTGTATCTCGGCGTGTTTTAAGTGAGATCATAGTGTGTTGCGTCGCTAGGCCGTTTGCCCGGAGCCTGGCTGCGGCCAGGGCCTGGGCGCGCCATGGACGCCGCTGACCCGCTGCGAACGGCTAGGCAGTGAGTATCTTGCGCTCTGGATATCCTTGAGCCATCACAAAAACGCCCGCGTCGGCAGGCGGTGGAATATTTTGGTTCTCTCAAAAATCCATCGAGGTTGCGAAACGTCCCTTGCGTTCATTTCTCGTTATATCGCAAAGTCGCCATTCTCTCGGTCGTGCGGCGTCACGGCCTCCGCATCGTTGCGCCATTTCGGAGCGGTCGGATCGTCCGCGAGCGCTAGGCGAGGACACGGCGGTCGCAGGGCGGCAGGGCGCCGCCGCCGATAGCGATCTCGGCGGCGACCGAGCGTGACTCCTCCGCCTCCGCAGCGCCGCGCCACTCGCCACTGGCGCTCGCCAGCGCTGCGACCGCGTTTACTGCATGAATGGCAATCGGACATTGCCATAAGTCAGTCGTGTTTACAGTTTTTGTCAATAGCCAGCCTGTCGCGCCGCCCTTTGTCCATCTTGGGCGGTGGGAGGCCGCCGTTCCTGAGTCGGGCTCGCCTGGCGCTCACGAAACGACCGAGTGAATTATGGCTATGTGCATATTATACGTCGTGCACGATACATACCTAACGTACGCGTATATCTATACTATAGTGCAGCGATGAGCGAAGGCTGTAACTACGTACATAGTTCAAACAAAGCATTTTGCTCACAAATCTATACTGCTAACATGAACGGCTGCTTTTTACGTTCTTTATAAAATTTCGCGTAATATCCTCGCTGTGTTTACATCGAGTCTATAATTAATGTGTTTGAAAACATCTGTGCTTGTCATTTGTTTCAATTAGTGTGCATTTTGAGGTTAGGCCGTGATTTGTGCTGAATTCGCGAATCGTCAAGAAATTGGATACTGCAGTGAGCATAAAAGTGTATGTAAGAACACAAGTTTTATAGATACTTTGTTGATAGTGTGTAAAAAATGTGTTTGCTAAATACAAACTGTGTTACCAAGGACAGTACATAATCTTTGTTTCAACCGTCTATCAAATGCAGCAGTTCCACATTAATTGGTAATTATTTTTCACTATTTTCCAAGGAGTTCAGTGATGCCAAGTTATTCTTTGCCATGCCATGTTATTCTTTTATGAAAACTGAATCTATTGGTCTGCCAGCTCAGGTGATGTTGATCTATTGCTTTTGACCCTGACATGATTAACAAGTACTGAGTCAATATTATGATCCTCAAACACAACTATAAATTTATAAACTTTTTTACAAACATGATAAACGTCACAATCATAATCAATGGATTTTTAATCATCAATACTCACTTATATAGTCTGATCAAATTTACTTGAGCTAAATTAAACTTCTTTTGTTTAATCGAGACAATAAGAATCTTATATTTTTTTCTAACATAGTACCTAGTTATCTTCACTTTAGCTGTAGTTATAGCTCAGCTTTCTGTAATATTTCTGCCTTGTTTATATTTTTAGTATTTGTGCTTATCTCAAAAATATCAGTAACTCTCTAATAATTACTATTCAGCAATCTTTTCAATGAAATTGATACTAATTTTCTCTCAAGATTTTTTACTAATGATTACATGATTTGCTCTAACTAGTTTTTTATTCATGCAGAGATGTTGAAGCTCTAACTGATGGTTTTATTTGCTAGAGCTATGCAATTGACTAAATAGTTTGGTTGTAGACATTATGAACATTCACATTATGATTATCTTAACATAAATAATTTCAATATTTGGTGGTGGTAACAATTTGGTCAGCGTAAAGCCAAAAACTTTATATAAGTAAGTATACTTAGGTATATTTCAGCGGAGGAGACCCCTATTTTGTAATTTCTGCTGATCCTCTGAACCATAAAGAATAATGGTTTAATAAGTAGGTAATTATACCTATAATTCATGGTTGGTAGTGATGAAACTTAATTGCCTATTTCTATTTATTATAAAGATAATTTAATAATTGCAAGCAACACTTGTGAACTAGGTCTTAAAAGTTAATTAAAGTCACATATTACCTAAAATCTACATGAAAACTCTTCTTTTACTGAATAATGTAATATTTAATGTATATGCATAGTTCAAATAAGAAGGATTGTGTTTTAATTGAGTTTTGTTTGTTAGGTTTTATACACAATTTTCACCTACACAAAGATATAAACTGAAGACTGAGTTGTACATGTTTTATGTAATACATAGGCTTTAATTACTTTTCATGTCAACACTACATTAATAATATGATTAATTATAACTAATTATGGATTATTTATTCTGATTATATTATAACTTTATAACATGCATGTTTTTACCACATGTAGAGATTATTCTGCAGCTTTTTTAAATTTGCATATATAACATCAATAATATTTTTTTCCAACATGAATAAATTATTGACTTGAAACCTTAGGTTTTTGGGATTTCCACGCTTATGTACAGTGTAGTGTATAGACATGTACACCTATTTTTAGCCTGTAGTTGTATAGTTATTTATATTATGGTATTTTATGATTTAGTATGTAATTAGCATCAATAATTAAAGTTTGAATATTTTTAGCAACTAAAGCCCTATTTATTGTGTCAAGTGTGATACCAAAAACTTATTCTGTTGTTAGGTATATGACAGCCCATAAGAAATAGAGTGTGTCTAAATTTTATACCTTCAGTCACACAATGACTTACAACTATTTTAAAACTGATATATTTATACCATAGCTATTAAAGCAACTTAAGAATAATTAGTGAGTCCCCCAGTGTTGCAAACACATTTATGTTATGGAATAGTTATTGTGTTGCCTTGATTGAAACTGGCACTATATACATTTTCTATCAAAGTTAATATATAGAATTTAAGATATATATTAAAATAGCCATCTTATCTGTTTACAATTATCCAAATTCACAGATTTTTGTTGTATCTAAACAAATCCTGGTTTAGTGACATTGAACTACAATTTTATCAATTATTCATTAGAACAACAGATTCCTATACATAAACAAGGAATAAACATTAACCTTTGACGTTTGTCATGTATTTCTAAATCTACAATAGAATGAGTAAAAAAAATTGCATGTGTGTATAATGTCATACCACATCAATTAGAGGCAAGCTTAAATACTATAGAATATATTTTGGTTCAAAAGTCAATACAATATGCTTTAACATAGCATGTGTATTACTTACCTTTTAGACTTATTTGTTAGTTGTTTGTAGGTTTAGTTCCTATAATTAAATTACTGTTACTAACCTACCCATTAAAGGGAGATAATATTCTTGTTTAGTTTATTTCATTATCATGGCACTTTTTATGGATTAATTTGTTCTATTCAGACATATTTTTATAATTTAAATCATGAGGTCCTGTTGAGGTCAAAACTCTATGATCATTTGCCATACGCCTGAGAAGATTCTCACTTAAACTTGCCACGGTTTTTGCAGTAGGTATTTTGTTGTTGTCCCTTTCATTTGGGATTTTGGTATTGCACATCTTCCTACTATATTTCATCAATTCCATTATTAGTTGTTTCAGATACTATCTCAGATATTTGTTAGGCATGGGATAAATAGTAAAACTGCTGTTTTAGAATCTAGCTAGAATTTTACTTATCTAACTACTTTTAACTGAATTAAATTTTTAGGTTTAAAGATTTTATGGTGCGCTATTTCTTTGTTTTTCTTAAACACAAACATTTTGACTGAAGTACCTATTTGTATTGCTTTCGTCACATCCGTAATAGCGATTAAGCGTTTAATTATAATTGTTCCATTAATTTTATCACTGACATTGAGAGGTGATATAGTACGAGACCCCCCCCCAGGGGTGGGCCCCCCCCCCCCTTTTTTTTTAAAAACCCTTTTTTTTTTTTTTTTTTTTAATAATATTTTTTTTCTTCTCCGCCCCCCCCCAAAATTCCCCCCCCCTTTTTTTTTTTTATTTTTTTTTTTTTTTTTTTTTTTTTTAAATTCTTCCTTTTTTTTTTTTTTTACAACAACACCCCCCCCCCCCCCCTATTAATTCTTTAAAAAAAACCCCCCGGCCCCCCCCCCCCCCCCCCCCCCCCCCCCCCCCCTAGGGCCAGGAATTTTTACAATTTTTATCCCTTTTTTTCCTTTTTTCTTTTTTTTTTCCTCTTTTTTTTTCTTTTCCCTTTTTTTTTCCTTTTTCCCCCTTATTTTCTCCTTCAAAATCCCCCCCCAAACCCCCGCGCAAAACAGTTAAAAATTATAAAAATTTTAGGAAGGGGGGGGGGAGGGGGGGGGGGCAACCCCCTCCCCCCCCCCCCCGGCGGGGGGGCGGCGGGCCGCCCCCCCCCCCCCCCCCCCCCCCCCCCCCCCCCCCCCCCCCCCCCCCCCCCCCCCCCGGGGGAAAAAAAAAAAAAAAAAAACCCAAAAAACCAAATTTTTTTTCCCTTCCTACTTCCTAAAAAAACTAACCCCCCCCCCCCCCCCCGCCCGGGGGGGCCGGCGGGCTTTTAAACCCCCCCCCCCCCCCCCCCCCCCCCCCCCCCCCCCCCCCAAAATAAAATTGTTGCGCTTCCACCCCCCCACCCCCCCCCCCCCCCCCCCCAAGCGGTTTGTTGGGGAGAGGGTGCCAAGCCCCCCCAAAAAAAAAAACCCCCCCACCCCCCCTTTTTTTTAAATATAGTTCAATGTCTTTTAAGTCTTTCGACGAGACAGCAAAACAAAGGCGCGTTTTCAAAAACGTTTTCCAAGACAGTATGTTAAGTACTGTCATGAAAAACTTCATTAAAATTCGCATTAAAAATCCACGTCGAATTGTAAACCTTAAGTTTTTTCAAGTCGGTTATATTTCATGAATGTTGATTGGTTCTTGTGTGTGTTGGCCTAGTGGCTTCCGCGTCCGACTCTCATCCCTGAGGTCGTAGGTTCGATTCCCGGCTGTGCACCAATGGACTTTCTTCATATGTGCGCATTTAACATTCCCTCGTAGGGTGAAGTAAAACATCTTGAGGTAACCGGCTTGCCTTAGATCCAAAAGGTCGTCGTCGTGTGTCAGGCACAGGAGGCTGATCACCTACTTTCCTATTAGATTGACAAATCATGAAACAGATACAGAAATCTAAGGTCCACCTAAAAAAGGTTGTAGCGCTAGTGATTAATTTATTTTGATTGGTTCTTGATGCTCTATGACAGATTTCCCCAAACTTTTTTGTGTCGTAGTCCCCTTGCCATGTTTTTCCGTGTTGGGTAGACCCCCTACTTACCTGATATTGATTTCCTGTAAATTTCTAACTGTAGTGAAGTTTAGTGTTAAAAACTTAAAGTAAAAACACATGTTAATTTATACATTTTTTAATTGAATTTAAATTAAAACTATTCAAAATAAAACTTTGTATCTGTTATGTAAAATATACGTAGCATTAAACAAACATAAAATAAACTATAAATAAAATAACAGAAGCAATAAGTCAATATAA